TAACGCACTGGATAGCTGGCCAATCACAGCACACCTTGCTTTTCAGACCGATGAGCTTTGTAAAAATCGACGCGTTTCAGAAAGGCGGGGCATAGAGGAGAAACAATAATGTACAGTATGTGGAAAATAATGTGTTTTTTGAACCTTAAACCGCATAAACACATTTCATTACACCAAATACACAAAATAATGTTCTTTTTAGCAGCATCATATGACCCCTTTAAATGAGTCTCTTATGCTTAGAAAGGCTGCATTTATTTTTATCAAAAAATACAGTAAAAACAGTAATATTGTGAAATGTTATTACTATTTTATAAGAACAGTTTTCTATTTGAATATATTTTAAAGTGTAATTTATTTCTGTGATGGCAAAGCTGATTTTTCAGCAGCCTTTACTCCAGTGTAGGGATGTTAATTTTAACCGTTTAACCGGTTAATCGACCGTAAGAATTTTGACCGATTAATGCAATCAGTTAAATGGTTTAAAAGTAATTTAATTATTTAACCTATTTTTTCAGATAATCGGAATTGTAAAAGGTTTGCCTTTATTTGTGTACATTCACAATAAAAACAAATCTTTGTGCTTTTGTAAAATAAGCCTAAAGAAAAATAGGATGCCGCGTTCTGTCGTCTGTTTCCTTTCGCGCAGCTCAAAAATGAACCGAAACTCTGCATACTAGGCTACTTGTTGCACAGTTTTTCTTTCATTTTCTTAATTTATTATTTAAGTAAAAAATATGTGTCTCTTAAAGGCCTATTTATTCGATATATATATATTTATATATACAGCCTAGCTTTATTATGTTTTTCTCCGCTCGCAGAAGCGCTGCAGGTGCATGATGTGATATGACCATGTGAATCCTCATGTTTTGTTGTTTGCTGCTTTTTGCGCATGTAAAATGAATCCCCGGGAAACAAATGTTAGTATTTTTAACGGGTCACAGAAACTTATCATTTTTTAATTTAATTCAATTCTAATTTAAAATAATCTTGTTGGTTAACAATCGTTTAATGAGCGTCGGTTAGGAAAAATAACCGAAATGAACATCCCTACTCCAGTGTCACATGATCCTTCAGAAATCATTCTAATATGCTGACTTGCTGATCAAGTAAAACATTTCTTCTTATTATCAATGTTGAGAACAGCTGTGCTGCTTATTATTTTTGTGGAAACTGATCTTTTTTTTTTCAGTGTTCTTTGATAAGAAGTAAAAAAGCAGCATTTATTTAAAATAGAAATCTTTTGTAACATTATTGATGCCTTTACTGTCACTTTTGATAAATTGAATGCATCCTTACTGAAATAAGTGTTAATTGATTTCCAAAAACCAATAAATAAATACATTGCATATATAACATAACATAACATAACACAAATAAAATAAATAAAAATAAACAAAACTTACTGACCCCAAACTTTTGAATGGTAGTGTATACATAAATTGGACTACTGTTGGCATTGGACTTGTGCACTTGCTTCATAAGATCCTTCATTTAGTCAGTTATGCAATTTTTGTCATGTGTACTTGGACAGACAAATGAACACTGGTTTATAAAGTTAAACAAGTCTAGTTTTCTGTTCATAATAAAAAAGACTTGAGAGATTCAAAGCCATGCTCACTTTCTGGGCATCAGGTTTGCGCCATACAATAATTTGTTTTGCCTTTATCTCAACATTTTCCCAAAGGTGCTTCTAAACGGTATGCAATCAATTTTCATGATAAGGTTTGTATGTTTACGAACATTATGGTTGAGCGTGACAAAATATTAGAGGTACAAGTACATATATCTGATCTCAGAAATTTCCCCAGTGCATGTGCAGTTTACACACAAAAAGAAATATTATCTGTGAGATCTATATGTGTTAGCTAGGAATATTGCATGCATGTATTGTGCATGCTTGCATTCAAGCCTTGCTTTTCACTGATATTTTAGTCTGATGTTCAGACATCCATGGTAGTTTGTCTTCTCAGAGGAAATGTGTGCCGTTTCTCTCTGTGTGTTTTGTCTAGATTCACTGGGGATTGTCTCTTTCTGCAGCTGTGCGGGTGTCGTGTGTGTGTGTGTCACGGTTTTTCTGTGTGTTGCAGGCTGTACCCACTCCTCTCCTCTCTCCCTGGCAGTGCCAGTACCAGACTGCACCTCGTGCCAGCATGCCTCAACGCCGACAAAGTGAGTCATTAACCCCTGACCTCTGACCTCTGACCCCATTCCTTTGGCATAATGTTTGGCTTTCTTTCCGCTACCCTCTCTCTCTCTTTCTCTGCTGTTTCCTTCCCTTCTCTTTCAAAAGCTGTCTCCCTATAGGTAACATGAGGCAGTGAGTCAGGGCTGTTTAAGTAGGATATCGGTTAAATGAGAGATGAGGAAGAGGAGATGTGGTGTGA